TTGTTAAGTTTTTGGCAATTTTGAGCTAAGTAGGGAGTAGCTACGAAGAAGAGTGGGGAACTGATAACGATAGCGAATCTACAAACCACTGGATTACTCAACGCATTTCCGATTTTATCGCTTTTTTTTTGTTAGTTTCAAGGTAGGAAGCTAGGAGGTGGTATTGGATCAAGGAATTATGCTAAATACCTTTCGTGGCATCTTTTGATCTGTTGTATGAACTTAAGGCCCCGGACAGACTTCACGCGATTTGGTCGTCGCGACTCAGTCGCGACGAGACAACTGTTACAACATCATTCCATGGCAATCAACTTGCATTTCGGTTGTGATACTTTTCCAGCCCAAAATTTTTGAATGTGAAATGAAAATGAATGGAAAGTCGGCGATTGAGTCGCGACGATCAAATCGCATGAAGTCTGTCCGGGACCTAAGACTGAATTGTACGTTTTATCATAATCGACGAATATCGCATAATCATGGCAATGAATTCTCGTACATAGCCAAAACTTCCCTGAAAGTCCAATTTTTTGGCAAATTTTTCGGAAGGATCAGCTACCGTATTATTGAACCGCTCTTTGTTGGTAAAGCTTGCTCTGAACACTTCGAAAAAAACAGAACAAGCCTTTTTACAGTCAGTTGATGGTGCTTTCTTTTCGATCAACTAACTCGTAAAGATTTACTGTGTGTGGAAAGGAAAAACTGACTTTCCTTGTGCTCGAACCAGACTCATTCTGCTGCGCGAAAACATGTCGCTCAAGAGCAAAGTTCTTTTGCTTGCAGAGATCATATGATCGCACAATACGCTCAAGTACGCTACAAAAGTGCGCAATCTACCCAAGAACAGTTATAATCTCGTTTGACAAAGGCCAGTTCCGAAAGCACTATGTGAATGCGGACATGTTTTGATGGAGCTGGGTTGAACTTTCGTGAAAAAAATTGAATTATGAAAGTTTGTCATGGATAGCAGCACGATCGACACTATATATGGAGCAAAGCGTTGAACGACTTGCTTCATTTTGTCACTTTCTTTGGGAATTTCAAAAACTCACATTTTGATGTTCACAGCGCCCATTTCTGTGTGAAGGCGATGAAAATTTTTCAGTAAAATTGGAACAATTTTCGATAGAGTATAAATTTTTCAGCTGCAATACCGTATTGTTTGAGAACGTGTTCACTCTCACAAACATTCCTTTCTCCATGAGAAACTAGCGCTTTTCTGAGAAGATGTTAACGTTGAACCTGTTTCTCCTTTTTTTAGAGCAGCTATTAACTCAATTTTTTCGCTAGCTAGTGGATAAATATTTGAACAGCTTCATTTACTTGCCATACGAGCTTCAGCTCTGTCTAGAATGTCATCAATTTGCAAAACCTTGCAGCTGAGCAAACATCATTTACATGGTTAGTACAACATCATGAACACTGAAATTGAGAACAAAAGAGTAAAGAGTTCGTCCACAGAAACAAACTTTACGATGTCACACAGGATCTTGGACAGACTTAGATGTACTCAAATCTCATCGAAACACAAGAAAAAAGAAATGGAGGTAGTGCACCAAAATCAAACGAATTTGTGCAAAAGAATTTCCACACATGTCAGATTGTTGATGCCAAAAACAGCTGAACAAACACATGAAAAGACGGCACAAAAGTAGAAAGTTCACTACTTGTTGACTTTACTCCGTGAATAGGTGGTGCACAGAGTCAAGTGGACCACTCATAAAAGAAACTAATAAGGGAAAGACTTTTAGAGGCCGTGGTCATTTATTATTAGATGCATATCATCTGAAGCGGTCTTGAATGCTGATTTCAAATCCGCAGTTTCTGCCAAAGTTTCTGCGGAACGCTCTTCAGGACGGGGCTATGGAAGCTTGAAAATCTGATGGGCACTCTCTGAATATAAGGACGCTACCATGTGTGTCAGTGTGTCAGTGGTGCAGTAGGGTAGTGGTTAGCGTGCTGCCACTGAAGGCGAGAGGTAAAAGGTTCAATTCAAGGAAGTCGGGACCTTTTGCAGTTTGAATGTGAACTTGATATTTGCACATATTTGCACTTTTCTAAAGGTTAAATGTCAAAGACATTAAGTGTCTGCAGACGATTTCAAATACATATCAAACTCAAGAAGGGTTTTTGTGCTACCATGATTCCCTTTAAAGAAGCGTTCCGCAGAAACGGAATGCAGATTTGAAATTAGCATTTAAGACTGCTTCAGAGAATATGCATCTCATATTAAATGGCCACGTCTCCGAAAGTAATACTTCTCTTGTAAGTCAACCGAGTAGTTTCTAAAGTAAATGTATTGAAAATTTCATCTAAAACTATTGTCGCCACACCAGCAGTGATGCTAAAAAGAAAAGCAAAGTGCTGTTTTACAAAAATACTTGTAAAGCTTCCAGCTTTCGAAGATTATCTCTAAAGTGGCTCGAATGCTAATTCAGGTGTATTCAACAAGCAAAGCCTTTTGTGCTCAAACAGGGTTCAGTGACTTAATTTGATTCAAGAATCAGACAGAGTATCAAAGTGTAATTACTGAATGATTCCATTTGACCGACTGATTTGAGCAATAGGCACGGCTTTGGCGAAAAAAAAGTGAGGAATTTGCGAAGAGTGGCCTTTGAATGAACAAAAAACTATTTTTTTCATGAGATAGAGCCTCATGTCTACCTAATTCGCGGTGGAGTACCCAGGATTTCAACCAGGAGGGCGACAAAAATTCTTTCCCAATAAGGTTGCGTGGCGTGAGCCACCACTCCGAAAATTTTTTGGGATGCTTCGGAAATTTTTCCGCGCCTATGACCTAAACACTCCAAAAAAGGTGGCGGTAGCCGCGCTCCAGAAAAATTCTTTATACCGTGCTGGTGTGGTACAGGTGAAGGATGCGGCATTTGACAATGAATGCAAGCCTTTTCAATAAGACCTGTGTCGCGGATTCGCGACTTCCCATAAAGGAGGCCGCCGCCGCGCTGCGAAGGGGTCCCGAAACGCTGTCCTCGCGCTGCTCCCGCCTTCCCATCGCTATCGCCGCAGCTTTCAAATCAGTCGTCAATTTCGTTACCTGGTGAGCGGTTGAGTCCCAGTTTGGTCTTCACGCGTGTCGATCGATGCAGCGCCGTCCCCGACTCACGCGTCGTCCACATCCAACACGCCACGGAGGATAGGCAACCCCGCAGACGAGGTAACCCCGTGAGTGCCCGCGCCTGGCACACGCCGGCGACACCGCCACGGGGGGTTTCCGATATTGTCGGCCCCTAGATTAAGATCTGGCTGGTTGTGCTCACCCCCTGTGTTTGACTTTAGGGAATAGTTGTGGGTAAATGGTGCGCATTTTACACCTGTGATTTGTTTGGTGCGGTGAGTCACAGCTCGGCTGTGGCTCCGGGGATATTTCATGCCATCATTATTATTGTGTATTTATAATCTTGCCTAGTGGGAAAGATCTGTTAGAGGGCAGGCATGATTCTAGATAGTGCCTTGGTTATAACTACCATGCCCCAGCTGTCGATGGTTGGGAGTGATCGAGTCGCAGGTGCCGAGTAACTGCTAAGCAGGCTGGTGGCAAGGGCCTCCACGTGTGCATGGAGTGTCCCTGTGGCAGGCGCACATAGCATTTCTCACAGGTAGCCACCACATGATAAGTTTCACTCCCCTCGCCAAGGCAGGAGAGCCGTAGCACCACTGACGTTGGGAGTTGGGGGCCCAATCCGCGACAACCTGGATCTATGTCTGCATGATCGCGAGAGTCGGACGTGTGTACGGCCACTGCGCCGCGCTCACTAAGGCAGGCACCAGACTTATCCTGTTCAACCGGTTCCTCCAGCTCACTCATTCGCTATTCTCAGACACTCGCACCGGCCGGCGACCGGCTGACGACCGTCTGGAACATCACCGATATTTCGGCCGGGCCGGTCGCCGGCCGGATGCCAGCCGGTCAGATATTCGCCCGGCCGGCGACCGGGCCATGGCCGTCTGGCGGGACATCGTGATCCGTCTCAGCCGTTCGTGCGCGCTCGCCGGCCGGTCATAAAACGGTCGCCGGCCGGAAATGACTAGATCGCCAACCGGCAGGGAAAACGTCGCGCGCGGCAAGTCGAAGTCGAAGCACGCTATACTGTTAGATTCTGCGCAGCAAATTGAATGCTACAGCGCTTTCGCGCTCTAGGCTACTCAGTCAGTTGTGGAGCATACTTTTTGCTTATTCATTTCCTTATTTTCATGTTTTCTTTTTGATCGTTCACTCTGTTCACCAAATTTCTCAAATTAAAATGATGATAGATATCCTCATTTGAATCAGAATCGAAACAGTATATGCAACTAACATGCAACAATTATGAGAAATACAACACACAATACATCTAAAATCATACAAAATGAACAAAACAGGGAAACAAATTGAATGCGCAATGCGCATTGGCATCACTCCACAATTCATCGAGTCCACTTATATGATGAGATCAAATGTGGAATCGTGCGGGTGAGGCAAGATAGGAATCATTGGAATGAGGCAACATAGAGTGAGGCATGCCTGCTAACGGTCATATAGCCCGGTTCTCTTGGATCAAAAAAGCCCAAAATGGTTTTTCTTTGGCTCAAGGCATATCGCGGTCAAAGTTTTGTGAAAAAGTGTGGTTTATACCGAAATTCAACATGAACACGTCTACAAAAATCACACTACATGTGAACATAACGATGGCGTGATTTGGAAATTCATCCGCTGGCTGTTTCTGCGTTTACATCAAGCCAGAAAACAATAGCTGAAGTATGCACTTAAACGCTTGACATTAGACAGGCATGTCAAAAAGTGAGTGAGCTTAACATCTATGGAACTTCTTACGATTAGTAAAAACAATAGAGAGACTCAAACTTTTACATTCGGGTCCTCTAAAAACAAAAGCAAGACTGAGGACAAAAATAAATAGAGTTTTAAACATATATGTAAGCAAGTATTCTAGCAAGCGTAGAATCAAGTCCAAAAATGACCTGCTCACGAATTGCTGGAGTGCGAATCAATCTTCCTCTGGCGGCATGTTTTCGTCGCCTGGTATGTCTTCTGATGGTGTTCTCCTGTTGATCACACCTCCACTGGCTTTGCGCTAAACGAGTAGCATTACTTTCGATGCGGAACCTAATGAAAACTCACGTTGTTAATGATGAAGCATTGCTTTTCGTGGTCAAATTTGTAGTTCCCTATATCGCGCCTGTATTAATTGGTTATGCAGTTTTCGTAACGGCAATGCAAGAAATGCATACAGAGCAACTAAAAGAGCTCTGAAAATGCGTGGGCGATAAAGCATTCGCTGTTGGCATGCTTCGCCATATGTTGCGCGTTCACATCCTAATAGATCTTCCATGAAATCTGCAATTAAGAATTAGACTCCCCCATATGCAACTACTAGGCGACTCACCCATGAGCATATTTTCTACCACACGTGGTAGATTTTGAAGATTTTTTTCCGTCCGCCTCTTTCATTTTCTCGTATCGCGTATTCCTGTATGCGATATGGCGGGTCGGTTATCTAAATAAAGTACTTAAAAGCAAAAAAGTAGTGTTATTATTGAGCCGACCTTTTGAAGGATGTGTCGATACAAAGCGGCAATTTGTTGAAATAATGTCTTTGATTCCTTCCCGGCTTTCAAGTGTCCTACTACCAGATCGTTGAGGTTAACCTTAACAGTTCTGTGAAAGACACCTCAATAAAGGGAGGTGGTCCCGCGAGTATCCAATCTTTTTTTGCAGTCGATCAGAGAAATTCCGGCATTCTCGGGCGGCTCTCCAACGATGCGAATCTCCATCTGTCGCTTATTTTCTCTACTTTTAATTCTCTAATTTCCTCTACTTTTCTCTACTTTTCTACCCACCGTTTCGCTTATAAACTTCTCACTGAGAGCAACGGATAGCGTGGTAAGTCCCGGATGTTCAGCGTAGCACATGCTAAAGCCTGCTCTGAACAAATAAACGAGGAACTCATTTATGGAAGGCGGGGAAATCCTTCTCAAAAAGGCATGAAACAGGCGCGGAAATCCGTTTCAAAAAGGTATGAAGCAGGCTTTGGTTATCAAACAACCCACTTCTCAGTGATGCGACTATTAATTGTTCATTTGATGACAAGGTTTCGATTCTGTTGTGACTCAACATAATAAGGGTGGGTCACACATTAACGCTCTTACCGCTGGTACGAGCCTTAGCAATGATGCTACTGTTAACGTTGGCACTGTTACCGTTACACACAGCAATCGTTCTTGCTGTTGTTGCCTGTGTTTCACTTTTCAGTATATGAATGGTAAGCTTGTAGCTTGACTTTTTCTATACTGAGAGGCAGATAAGTAACAATAACTTTGTCTTCATACTACCGTCCTGATGCGAAGAAAAAGGTAGTTAGCAGTTTACGGAATGGCAGACGGGGGAAATGAGACTGCGAACATCCATGCCATCCATATGAAGCGGAACACCGGTAACAGAAGAAGTAAATTGGGCAACGGTAACAGTGGTAACACTAGTAACGGCGGTAAATCTGCTAAAACTGGTAGCAGCGGCCACACTTGAAGTAAAGCATGGACTAATGAACTCTAAGAATAAAAGTCGTGAAAATGTAGACTAAACTATTAGCGGCAGGAATAGAAGTATCTACAATGACTAAAAAAGCGTTAGAAAGGAAGTTCCGCTGTAGCGTTACCTGTGTAGCATTCTCCTAACAACGTACTACCAGAGCGAGCTGTGTTTGTGAAAAGTAGGTTTTTGGTTGTGGTTGTTTCTCCAAGGTCTCAGCAAACTTCATAAAATCGCTTTGTTTCACTTCGGCTACAGCCAACGCCTAAACAGCACTTAGGCTACGGCCAACGCCTAAACAGTGAAAAGAGTGATAAAGACTCATTAATAAACTTACCTTTTCAAACAATGGAACAAAAATGAATGGGTATTCACTGATGCTATAGCTGTAAAAAGGTTCAGGCAACAAAACGAACAGTACATCTAAATCAAGATAAATAAAGCAAGGATACAGAATCAAAAGTATTTGCAGCTTACTCTTTCGATACAGTAAATACCTCACTGTGAGATGATGCTTTCGAAATGTCCTCCTGCTAGCACGAAATCACTTCTTTTTGCAATCTCTTCCGGATCTAGCTTACAGCGCCAGATAATAGCTAAACATTCTAACATGTCCATCTGGGATGTCAGCAATACCAGCCGCCACTCCGAAAACCTCAAATGGGGATTCGGTTAGAGGAGAAAACATCGTAGCATGCAATGACCAACGTCTTTGATTTTCTGGTAGGAGTGTTGGAGAAGCAGGTAGATCACATAAAACTGAAGCCGCAAAACTATCCAAAACTTCTCTTGTATAATCTGCATTTCTGAAAAAATTTAAATCAAATCGTGAGAGCATAAAAATGCAAGTAGTCTTGACATGGAACACTAACTCAGTTAAAGTGAGAGCAATGTTCTCTCTAGCATATATTCTGTGAACAAGCGAATTGCTATGCTGCTGACTGACATAATACGAGGGTCGTATTGGACAATGCATCGACATTGAAGGAACAAGGTAAGGAAAAGTAAGAAAACGGCTTAAAAAAGCCAAGTGCTGTCAAGTTGCAGGCGTGCCCCAGCATTACAAAATGTTGAGTTCCGCCATTAGTTTCCAACGGTATTGGAGCTTTGGTGCGTTCGCGCTTTTACGGACTCGCACGGTCGCCAGCCGGTGCGATTTTTGGGCCGCTCGCCGGCCGATCTTTAGCCCCGCCCCTAAAGCTGGCGCGGCCGCCGGCCGGTGCAAGTGTCTGAGTTGATCAAATTAATGCACTAATTAATAGCAGAGGGGTGAAGCGAATGAACTGTTGAACTGGGTAAGTACGCCTATCTGAGTTGTGGGACGGACATCGGACGTGCGCGGGGCAATGGCCGTTTGCACGCCCGATTCTCGCGATCATGCAGGCCCCTATGCAATGTTTTTCCGCGCCATTGGGTTTTTTGGGCTTTTTGGGCGAAATAACGGGTCCCTTGGGGTTTCGTTTACGTAGTTATTTAGTAGTTTTTTTCCAAAGTGTGTCTTTGTTTGCTTGTGTCATAAGGATAAGCTTAATTTATTTTCTGTTTTTCACGCTCTAAGTCAAGGGTAGGCTAATTAGCGTTGTATTTAATTAGCGGGCGAGCGCAGATCTCGGGTCCTAGGTGCTTAGGGCCCACCGTGCCTCCACAGGAATCAAGCTCAAATCACTTCTGTAGAAACTACGTGGTTCAAACTACTGCATGAATATAAATGATAGCCATAACTTTCCGAGGATTTCGCGGGTGTGATACAAGTCACGAAAATGTTTGGACTTGTGCCACACCGTTAATTGAGAACGCTCAAACGTTGTTTTTAATATCAAGCGAATTTTGCATCTTCTCTGCGGTAAAAAATATCATCCAAAATTCTTTGCCCCAAAATAAGATAGTTTATTTTTCTGCTTCATATTTTCCATTCCAAAATGAAGCCAAAGCATTGATTACGGTCAAAGAGAACATTTCGTGCATTTTTCAATGTCTACAGAGCGAGAATCTCAAATCTCACATGTTAGCGCTGCTGATCCGCACGGATTTTCAACATGCAATAACATTAACTCTAAAACTAACAGCAGACGCATTATGTACTCAGGGGCGAGAGAGTTGTGGCTATGCGGCCGTCGTGTGACATCCCTTGATCGGTCGTGGCAGAAACACAGGTACGCAGTGCCTGCCAAGAATCATACTATCGAATGCATGAGTAAACTGTCCCATCAAAAACCGTCTCAAGACTTAGGAAATCGCCCAGTGCGCTAATGAACCAAGAACTCGAAAGCGAATTCAGGATTAAACTAATGTTTACCTAAACAGATGTCGACAAGTCGTGCAGACCACTAAACCAGTGAGTTCTAACTATGGCCCCGGGCAGACTTCACGCGATTTGATCGTCGCGACTGAATCGCGAGGAGACAACTGTTACAACATCATTCCATGCCGATCAACTTGCATTCGGTTGTGATACTTTTCCAGCCCGAAATTTTGAATGTGAAATGAAAATGAATGGAAATGTAGGCGATTGAGTCGCGACGATCAAATCGCGTGAAGTCTGTCCGGGGCCTATCACTTCTAACTACCACAATCAATGGATGTTACAACAAGTTGTCTGAACTGAGATCTTGTTTTATTAGCCTTATATAGTTTTATATCCTTGCAATGACAGTGCAAATAGACGATGAAAGATGCTTCGAAGACGCGTTGCAGCAGAGGTCGCCTGAAACAAAAATAATCCCCTCTGTGTCATTGCCGTATATGCTCAATCCCAAACGCCACAGAAATTTACGTCCCAGAACCATGTATAGTAATCCAGCAATCTTGGCAAGAGTTGGTGATGATTGTTGTCACATTAGTTCTTATAATGATTACTATTTATCATTGGTTCTTATTGCTATTTTTCGTCATTTATTATTATTGTTACACATCATTATTATCGTCGATTCAGTGCGTGATGATTAGCATGCAATAATTTGTAACAGCTGCTTGTAAGGAATTTTGCTGGCGAGGATACTACGTGAAATATTGCCCGGTGCTCTATGCTAACTCTATGCACCACTCACACGATGCTACAAACAAGACGTAATGTCACTCTCACTTTTTCAGATCTCTTAAACTCGACATTTTACCGACAAGTGAAGTCAGGCAATCCAGATTCGCCTTTTTAGATGAGACACATATATTTGCAATTACATTCGAGCGCTGATTCCAAATATGCTGTCCTTAGCTGCGGCGCATTATTCTAAAGCGAGTTATGAGCTTTTTCTGCAATAAATTTAACATAGGAAAGCTGCCTTTGATGAAGATCTATCCTGAAACAGTGCTGGGATACTAAAATAATATCAGATAGAGTCTTTTGTCATTGAAGAAACTTAACGCAGTCAATCAGCACTTAGATGATGATATTGTAATGCCAGTAGGTCAAGGATAGTGCATATTTTGCATAGAAAAAAAATCGATAATGCGCTTCAGAGCTCTAAAAATATGCAAATACAAAAAATATTGTGCTGTAGCTAGGAACAGCATATTTGGAATTAGCGTTCGAGATGATCCCAAAGATATATGTCGCTCTCAAAACGTGAATCTAAAATGACTGATCTCCTGTGAGTTGTCAATGAAGGACCACATATGTACTCCCATAAAGAATACCGAACACCTCATTGGAGTTTTGTATTTCCCACTTTATACTTGCAGGAATAGTGATGCAGAGTTTGGAGCTCACCATTCTAATACGCTTTGTTGCATTAGCTAACCTTTTGCAAATATGCAATATCAAATTTGTAGGGAATAGCAATAGCACCAGTTCTAAGAAACCATTTATAAGAAAAGCTCGAGTATTGTTACAACTTTTGAAAAGAACAATTCCTTCTTAAAAAACTTAAGACAGGTTTTATTCCCCTGTTGTATAGCCTTTCCATCGCTGATATCGCTCCTTCAACCCAGAAGGTCGGTCGAACTGTGCGCAAGTCATGACCTGAAAGCGTGGAAAATGAGCTGTAGTCACATTGAGAGTACATTTCTCACAATGTTCGGAGCAGAGAATGGAGCATATTTTCCGATGCATTTTTTAAACAATTTCTCAAACGCTTTCTTGACCTGAAAAAATATTTGAAAAAATATTATTTTTTCATTTTGTCGTTTTCTGGTTCTCCATTGCTGTGCCTGATAGGGAGTCTTTACATATTTAGGCTTACCAAATTGCTTGCTCTATCACATGACGACAAGGGAGCTTTACATAATTCTAAAACAAATATGGGCCAGTGTATCACCGCAACCATGAGGGCTTCCGTTATTTACGATTGAAAAAGTTCTTCTTAGATTGTTAGTAAGTTTCAGTAAGCATACGTTGTTATAATCCTCTGTTGACATGACATTGTCACCGGGAAAGGAAACAGATCCTAAGATTCACAACAGTCTTCTTTACATGGGACTTTAACTCTAAATGTCCAGGACGATTGTAATTTTTGTGGCATAGATAGTAAAAGGCGCAGCTGCCTATTGGAAAGAGCTTTTTTGGTGATGTGGAAAAGATTTGAGCCATTCGTAGTCCTTATCAAAGCGTTTCTTACGGTTACCATACTGACCGCTTAAAACATTATTTTGCCGGGTGCTTGAGCAAGTTTCAGCATCTTGAGACAATTTCCATTAACCGTGAGCTACTCTTCGCTTTTTTTCATATTTAGGCCTACAGCAGTCTGCCGCAAGCGGCTACATCCCCCCCCCCCCCAAAAAGAAACCCTGCGATGTTCTCTGTAGAACATGCCAGTGTTATAATAAACCAGCAAAAGCTTTTTTCACACCAAGTTGCTGGAAGAATTGCCTGTATAACCCCATAAACTTACCAATTTGGCTGCAGCAATATGGTCAGATTTCATTGTCATCACGTTCATTACCAATATTCCTAAACCAAGATTTGTCCTTTTTACCGGTACAAGTTATACACCGCATACCTCTAGGGCCCAGCAATGCAGAAAAACTGCGCACAACATCTGGAGCCAAAAAGATATTAATTGGGCAATTTACAGGTGCGCTTTCGTCCATGGTGCATGCATCAAGGTGTATGACATCGAACGTTTTACCTAATTTGGAAAAATTTGCTAAATTAGTATAAAGCTTCTTCACTTGAGGAACTCACCGGCCCCTGCAACTCTTTTTACATACTCGACGCCATCTGCTATTACAACCCGCTGTCTGTTGTCCAATTTCAATCCAAACCATTTTTTCGAGATATTCAACATAACCCCATCTATCTCAACCACCGTGATGTTCATCTCAAATATTATAAATTATTACGTCTTTCAGTTAACTTCACCGAATGAAACTACATACTTTTCTATAATTTTTGTAGAGATATGAATTTATATAACCAGTTCCGAGTCCAATGGATAGCACTTTCGCTGCTGCATTTCTGCTAATCTCAACTACGCCATACGTAAACATCTCTTCTGAAAAACACTTATAATGACTTTTTGAGCTGCAAAATTTTGTATCGCCTATTAACAATTCCAATCAGTGCTGTGTCATTCGAAACAACTTAGTTTGTAAACCAGGAAAACTCTTTTGCATCATCAGCCTTCTTTGTAGGTGTGATGGAATGGGCTTTCGAAAGTGCACCATCATTTCCTGTACATTTATTTTAAATCCCACGATTGCGCACTTTCGACTTCTTACTTCCTAGATTATCATTGATGTTCCCCTTTTCTGGTAAAGATCGACTTTTCACCAATACATTTATGTAGTTACCTCATTTTTTCAGCATTTTTGAAAGCTGTCAAAAGTGCAGGCACTTGTAGTGGGGCTAAGTTATGTATGTAGCAGAACTGCAGATCCAAAAAAGTTGGCAAATGAAAGTTTGTGCTGTGCTGTCAAGACTTCCACTTATGTACTGTCGCTACATAGACGACTGCTGTATTGTGACATCCACTCAGTCCGAAATGCACGAGTGTTTCCGATTGCTCAATCAGCAGTCGCAGTACATAAAATTCACGCGCGAACAGCCGGTTGATGGTTGGCTTCCGTACTTGAACGTTCAAATCAAACTGCCTGGCTGCAATACAAATGTTAAATGGTATCGTAAGAATAGCTCCAAAAACATCTTATTACATGCTCGTTCGGCACATCCATCAGCCGTCAAGAATGCCGTTATTTGAAATATGTTTAAAACAGCAACACAAGTGTGTACGGGAGAACAAGAGCAGAAAGAGTCGCGAAATGTTGCACTGAGCATCGCGAGGAACAATGGCTATCTGATGCACCATGCTCGTGGTAGACCATATTCCTCACATAATACCGCTCAATATAACAACAAAATAGCACTCTGTCTTCCTTTTGTCTCGGATGAAATCTGTGTTGCAATACGGCAGAGTATTAAACGAGCGCAGCTAAGCGACGATATCATTTTAGTAAATGTTCCGAGCGATAATTTAAAGAAACGGCTTGTACGAAACAGGCTCTATGACAAATATTGTATCTCGAAAGAGTGCGTTGTTTGTCCATATAGCAGCATTGGTGACTGCGCGAAGACGGGAGTAATATATCAGATAGAATGTTTAGTTTGTGGAGCTAGCTATATAGGAGAAACCGGAAGAGCACTTGGCGTGAGAGTTAGAGAACATCTCGCCAATAAACGAAAAGGTAATCTAGTCTCGCCTCTCGGGAAACATAGACATGAGTACCATTGCGGCGAAGACTACGAAATCAAGTGTACAATATTGGCTTATGAAGAAGATACCTCTGCTCGGAAAGCTCTCGAAGCATTTTGGATCACGCGCAGAAAACCGCTTATGAATAACAGAAACGAGTGCTTAGCCGTTACGAATGATCTCATGCCGTTTTTGTCACTCTGTGAGCTATGATAGGGTAGTGCGATGATTACATCTATAATGAGCTGCTCAATGTGGCTTATTGGCACTACTGTCACCAAGGAAGCGGTCGCACATACCATCAAGTGCACCGGCGGTGGAGCAATGGTGCGTTCGTCATTTCCATCTTGCGAATTTTGCTTGTAAAACTCGAGGGGGGATCGAGAAACTATCCAAGCAAGGGTCGATGAAGCACTTGGTGGGGCAGACATAATATCGCTAATCCCGCACCGCTTTAGGCCTCTGAAGTGGCCTTCGACGAGTAGTCGAAACGTTAGGCCACTGATATAATAAAGAGCTTCACCAAAATCTCGAGTTGGCAAAACAATACTGACAACACAATCTCAAATGAAAGTTTTTTGACCAACAGGGCTCATCAAGGCACGGCTGAGAGTGGCATGGAAAGCGGGAGTAGCTTTTAAGGCAAGCAAATGACAAGCAGATATACTTTCACATGTATTACGTGATCTCGCACATTTTAGCTACATGACAAGCATTTTACGCAACTAAATGCTCACGCAAAAAACGCACATAAGCCAGTTCCCAAATTCAAGTTTAATAAAAGACGGAAGTTTCCGAAATTTTTCTTTTCTTTCTGAAAGAGACCGAAAGCATCAAATTTGAGGTTCTGAGAAAGCGTGCTTTGACTGAACGATATAGGGTGTTCAAAAAGAGATTAAGGATTTCCGGTGACCGGGCTAAGTATTAGGTTGTCCCGAAAGTTTTGTCCGTTTCTTTCATCACTCACTAAAACTCACACAACAACATTCCATAAACGACTTAGGTACCATTTGACTCAGATTTTTAACCTCTTTCTTATGGTTATGTTTGCTCTCTGATCTACCCTGTCTTTGCGATGTTGTCGCCATGGCGTTTTGAGCATTCCATCAGGAACGCCAAATCTTTCCTGAATTTTAAAATTTTTTATCCTGATGTTTCCAAAGAGCACTGATAACCATTATGTAGAGCAAACCTTTGGCACATTGTATCCATTTTAGATTACATAGGCCACGTTTACTAAGTCCGTTATAATTATTTATTTGATAAAAACCGCGGCTTTTTGATTACGTCTACTACGCAGAAGTACCGAAAATTCCAAAAAGCAGATTTTTGAAGCAAATCAAGCCTGGTTATGTTGCATAAATAGTGTATAATAACAAACAAGTGTTAATTCGCGAAAAATTTGAAAGCCTTCATGTTTTTGCTGCAGTTGCGCGTTTCATGACTTTGCCAAAAATTGAGACTTTCGAAGAAATAATTTTTTAGAGCTAAAAACAGCAGATTAGGAGAACCTAAGAATACTGCCATATAGTCCGAGAATTGCTCTATTTAAAGCATACTCAAACTTCTCCGGAACCCTGAAACGAAATTGTAAAAAATTAGCCGAACTTTGAGCAGATAAAAGTGACGAGTGAAGAATTTTAGCAATTATCAGAAAAAGCATAAAGGATTTTGGTACGAAAATGAGCCCACAAGAAAGAGAAGAAAAAGCTGCATCGAATGCATGTTAAAGCTCATTCAGGTCCCTTCATTGTGCGTGGTTTTATAGTGGTTTGAAAAAACCGACAAAACTTTCGGGACAACCTAGTATAAGAGAGCGAGCTCTGGTCCTCTAATGATTTAGGAATGATAAGAGCAGAGCGATGTGTTTTGACATAAGAACTTTGAGTCAGGCAAATCCTCAAATCTGTGAACATCGGCACTCCCTCTGATTTTGAGGACATATAAAGGTGTATAGGGACGGGTTTGAAGATGACATGTGTCTAGACTTACGCTAACTTAGTGCAAAGATCTGGATTGATGCTATATAGAGTGCTCGGATTTCCAATTTGGAACAGCAACTCAGAATAAGCTTCAGACTTTTCTACATTTAGGAAGTAATCTATATATCATAACTTACAATAACGGGCTAAGGGAGTTTACGTGACTTTTTGTGTGTGTGTGTCCGTCTGTCTGTAACGAAATTCATAGAGCGAGTTCCAGCCAATGTCCTGAGCCCAAATTTCGCACAGTGCATGCTACCAGCGTAGAACTTTACCATACAAAATCACGAGCGGATTCGTTGGATGGATCCATCAGAATTTGCGAGTCAGACGGATCCACTTGGCTTCTGGCCCGCAAAATTGAGTCTCTGTCAACGCTTTTTGCAAAGTCGTGGATGTGTTTGGCATGTTGATGTGCAAGACATAGACTTTAGGCGAAAAAGTGACCAAAGGTCTACTACTTTACCAGAACGAACCCAGAAAGAAATTTTTGCGCAAATGGTCAATCTGCCGTGGTTTTGCCTAACCATTTGAGAGAATTTTTGCATAGAGATGTAGCTCACGGTAATTGTTGTCCTTATAGCGACTACCAAGCCAAAAGAAGTTTAAAAACCTAATCGAATTTGCATTTGTTCTTCTGCGAAAAGTTCCATCCACGCGAAATTACCGATCTTACATGAAAAAGCCTTTGAAATGAGTAGTTGTTTACATTTCATTCGTGGTAGTCGTCATTGCACGGTGAGTTTCAAAGACATCCTTAGGCGAGAACAAGTAAAGCATATAAAGTAAGACCAGTGCGAGCCTCTGCGAAGCAGGGGTGACGCACTGGTATATATATAAAACTCAAAATTGTGAGTTTGGAGGCTATGTGCGCTATAGAAACGCGCGCCGCTCACCCGATTGGGCTGAAAGTTTGTACACAGATGTTTTCGACCCCTGCGCAGATGATAGGCTACTTTTTGCGTCGATTCGTTGGGTCCTTCTATCGATTTATTGATTTCTAGCACTTAACAGTGAAAATGATTCTTATCCTCTGCTATCAAAGCAGAGGCATGTAAACAAGGCCGGCATGTTTCATTGTAGACTTCTGTTGGCGAAGTGCAGTAAAAAGTGCTCTTGATGTGAGTTTCAATGGTTCAACCAAGTGAATACACTCTATATCTTATGCTGCGGTCTACCTTAGGGTGCAAGTGACCAAGAGTGCTTTGTAGTGAGTGTGCTATACAAAGGCGTGTTCAAGATTGTACTCAACGCTTTCTTCGTCATTTATGCTGCGATCGACCTTAAGGTGCAAGTGACTAAGAGTGCTTTGTAGCGTGTGTGCTGTACGAAGGCGTGCTCAAGGTTATACTCAATGCTTTCTACGTCACATTTCATTGAACAATGAAACGGTTAAGAGTTTTCACAAGATTGCGCTTAAATTATTTGGCATATCAAAAATTTTCGAAAAGAACTTGAATGCCTGTTCACATAATGTAAAATACTGCTTACTTGGTCATAGTCAAGCTTGCCAGAAAGATGTTAAACATCGGAAAACAGCTTCAAATAGTGAGTTGAGCAAAGCGAGTGACCGATCTGCAGCAAAGCAACAAAATGCTCATCATTGTAAAAGTCATGCTACTCATCTCTCCTTTGCATGTAAAACCGCAATGCTTAATCTGTAGAGTCCCTGGAGTTGTTTTTTCCGGTTTCGAAGCGGATGTCCCAGTGTAAGTAATCCATGACATATAAGTGGAGGAAGGGCTCGCAGTGCAGGTGAACATTGGCCCGGGCTGGACCGGCAAAGCCCGACTAGTCATAATGAAAATCAGAACCAATGTGCATACTGGTTTTCGCCAACTATTCTACACTAGTTTTTATCTCTGCGACTTTCTTAGAGGTTACTGATTGAGTCATGTAATACCTATCATTGTAGTTGTGTAGCTTGTGAAATCAAGAGAATCATGATCGGGATCCCATTCCCTTGAATCGAGTTGGGAGGCTTCAAGACCTGAATCGCGTAATTCATAAAGCAACATATTTTGTTTTTAGGTTATAGCTTACGCGTAGGGGCCTTTAAATTCATGCTAGTTATCACAATATCGTTTGTGAACAAATATCGTATGAAGTATGTCCTACAAGACAAGAGACCTCGATTTTGTCATTCATGTTTACTGTCCCAAAATATACCCTTTCTCATCATATACAGGGCTATCAGCAACTTTGACTCTAGTACCATCCATCAAGCGGATCGGTCCATCACTAAACGACTTTTGCCACTAAAACCGGTTGCAGAAGTGAAAGAAACGTACATAACTCTTTGCCTTCCATAAGTTCTCTCATATAACTTGGCGAATTTCGTCAACGGAGAAGGAGGCGTTGTTTTACGTTTAGTTGTACAAGGCTGTCTAGTGCCTCCAGCTACGTAACTTGGTCCACATTCCCTAGTCGGACTACAGGGAGGACTTTTTCTAAGACCTGAGACCTGAATAAAGAACCACATAAACGATGGCTTTCTCAATGTGCTCAGCACAAACGTGAACGCTTACCGCAGCAATAGCAAGCACACATAGCACCGACCGCAAATGACACCACAGCATAACTTATTGAACTCCAAGGATGAAGATAGTAGAATTTGTGATAGGAGCACGATCAACGCTATCATTATGAAAATGGTGATGGTTTATTGCTATGAAGCAAGTAAGATCGATCTAGTCTGTGTGAATGTAGAGAATAGCAATTTATATGCTAGACACTTTCCAGAGCGAAAGATTCCGAAGGGTGATGTTTTGACGCATAGATTCTATAGATTTATTAGCATTACAATAGTCTGCAATGCTTCGCAGCGCCGCAATATGGGAGTCAATAATTATGGGATCTCTCTTTCATTAATACCGTTATTCTGGATCTGGTTTTAGATAAATGTGTTCTCTACTCTGTTATTTTTATCAAGCATTTTGTGAATCTGAGTTTTTGCTTAGGCTTCCTGGTATGAACAAGATAAAATTGTAAATCAACCTGGAGCATCTTCTACTTCTCGCATAATGCATATACAAATCAGTAACCTTAAACAGCCCCAAATTATAATGTAGGTGTTCAATCCTTTGTTTATGTCTTTGCTTGCAAAGAGAGACTAAAATCGATTTAATAAGAAACTTACACTTTTTCAGAGTTTCTTGGGCTATATGGTTATAAGCTAAAACTAATTCTTCATGAGTCCAACATGATGATCATATATCCCTTTAGCATCTATTGCACCACTTTTCCAAAGGGCTCATGTGCGTGCTTGTACAGTGTGGCCGCCGATGCAAATTGCTATCATACAATCTCAGCTGACCGCCTCCGTTTCGTGTTCTTGGTAACTTTACCTTTTTATACCCTTGAAAAAATTGTATTTTACCTCACCATACAGATTACATACTTGTTGCAAGCAGCAATCAAATGGTGACACACATAACTGTTTTCGCGCGTTAAGAAAGTATGATTTGTCTTATAAGATGTACGAGCCACATAATTTATGCATGAAATTTCAAGACAAACCCTACCCAACTCGGTTTTCTTTGCTCAACCTCTTGCCTCACTATTCTAAGTTCTGTAGGTCTTCGCAAATTGCTATCATACATTCTCTGCTGACCGCATCCGTTTCGTGTTCTTGGTAACTTTACTTTTTTATACTCTGAAGTTGTCATTTCGTTATGTGCGCGCTGCAAAAAAGACAGTTAATTACTACTCGATGGAGGGAAAATTTGGTTTTGGGAAGGTGATGCGCGAGGGAAGGTGACGGGAGCAATTGGGAACGTGACGCGCGAGCAAGACCAAGTTTTTGCATGTAATTAGAGTAGCAAGTCGAGAGATTATATGCCCTGTAAGCGTATATCATAATCACGATAGCACTTTGCCTCTTTCCCTATAACAATTTTCAGCCTGACATTTGTCACCTTCGTGCAGGGCGCTGCGTTAAATTTTGTATAGGAACTATTACCAGTAAAAGAAGAAATATCCATGATTATACCTCCAAAGCTTCATATTATAGAATTATCAACGTGGGAATAGCCCATTGCAGCGTTTCAAAAACATGAAAGGGTTTCTGAACGAACGTACTACTTTTTCTTAACTTTTGGGCATTCAGCTCATCTTCAATTTCGTTCTTCGAACTTTACATGGAGCAAACATTGAACAAATGTTTGTGAACTATCTTGTAGAGCTTGCTTTGCTCTGCCAAATCTTGGGGCGAAACCTGTTTGAGAACAGGGAAGAATATGAATCATTGCGGGAGAAGCTAAAACCGTACGAAATTATGAGATATTTCAATAATTGATGCAGGAAAGATTCGAAAAACATCGAGTTTCGTTACAGTTTAGAGTAAATTTCCTTTCTTGTAACTTCATACAGAAAACATTTATTAAAAAAGTTCGAGAATTGCTACGTCTTTCAAAAGAAAGATTCTTGACTATGTAACTTCAAAAATGCTTAATCCCCAGTCCTGTAGCCCTTCCACTCCTGATATCGTTCCTTAAGTCCTACTGGCTTGTGAGTCTTCGCGCACGTCATGACCTTGGAATAGACAAGATTGGGTTACTTCTAGGAACGAGCAAAAAATTCTCACTATATTTGGTGGAGCAAATGGTGCATACTTCCCGTCACACTTGTAGAAAAATTTCTGGAACGCTCTCTTAACCTGGAATTGGCTATGGTGATTTTCTTAGTCTTGCCTCAATCGTGCCAATTAGTGACTTTTGTGAAAAACAGGATTCTCAACCTCCATAAAAAGAAACTTAGAAAGTTGCGAGCTTATCTCAATAGCACTATTACAACTTCATCTCTTTCTCAGACTATCATTGTGAAAAAAACAATAGTAAAGGCCACGTGCTCTAGAAATTACTTCATGGGACTTCAATGACATTCTCATCATTCAAAGTCGGTACTACTTAACACTCAAATAATCTGTTAAGTTTGATGTTCTAATATTTCTTATGCCGCACAGGTTGGTATGGTGGATCTTTATCGACCTAACGTTTCGAACAACTCGTTTTCGTCGGAGGTCTGAAAAGGATTGTAGTTTACGTACCCGTTGTACTGTGCCGCCAAACATCTCGTCTGAGTCCGCTTTGCTTGACGTTTTCTCAGACGCAACGTACTGGGAACATCAAACGAGGGCAAACGAACCTTCGGTCCACCAAAGAGTCAGTAGTCCGCACTAGATCAGTGTGACGGACATCACTGAGTTGTGCCCAGTGAGTCCTGCTACTTATAGTGTGCGGTATCGAGCTCACACAATGATATCAGTGAAAGTAGATCACACGTTATCGTCAGACATTCATTTCTGTTGTTCATACTCGGATTACGAGAGTATATCCACGCGCTTCAAGGGTTTTTCGTGCTTGAATGTCAGTCTCAAACGCTAGGATGACACATTTAACGCTAAGATCATTGCAGAGTGCTCTTCAAATTTATGCTTGCCTAACGGAGACAATAGATTTCCTCGCCTCATGTTGGCCAAATGCTCGCTTACTCTAGTACTCAGAGGTCTACCCGTCTCTCCAATGTACGCTGTTCTGCAACTCAAGCATTCTAATTGGTAGACAGTTCCGGATTTGGCGCAGTCCCCAATTTTCCCGTTAGGACAGACTATGCAGTTCTTTAATATACATTCAACATCATAAACTCTATTTCTGACCAACCGCCTTTTGATATTATCGCTAGGAATGTCAATCAGCATGACTTCATTTTGCAACTGTGCTCGCAGAATGCATTGTCTTATGGCCTGGCTGATTCTATCGGAAACAAAGGGTATGCACAAAGGAATTTTGTTGTTCTTGTTGCGCTCCATAAGACTATCACATTCACAACAGTTAGACTGTCTTTTACGTGATCGTCCTGTACCAAGCATATAGCCATTACTGAGTGCAATGTCAGCCGCCAATTGTCGTGACTCTCGTCGCTCGTCATCGCCTGTACACATTTCGGTAGCAGTTTTGAACATGTTATGTATAACAGCATGTTTAACTGCTGAGGGGTGAGCTGACGTAGCGTGTAAGATGATGTTTCTAGAGCTTTCCTTTTCGTACCATTTTATGCGAACGGTATTGTCACATAAGCTGACCTGTGTATTCAGAAAGGAAAGCCATCCACCGCGAGGTTTTTCACGTGTAAGCCGGATGTACTGTGATTGCTGATTTAAAATTCGAAAACACTCATCCATTTCGGATTGTGTTGAGGTTACGATACAGCAATCATCGATGTATCGGCAGTACATCATTGGTAAGCGTGCGAGTACTGGTTCTTCGATCTTACTCATGTAACATATTGCGATGACTGGAGCAAGTCTTTGGCCCATTGCGAGTCCTCTGACTTGAGAGTAGTAATTTCCAGACCATTTGAATATGTTACACTTGAGGCATTCTCTGACTAGAACCAGTATGCAATTTATGCTCAAACCAAAGGTGTTGATGTTAGAGTAATACTTGTCCAACATTTCCGAGAGCGCTTGCAATGCAGCATCAACATGGACGTTAGTGTATAGAGATGTTACATCAAACGATTCTATGACACTGTTTGGCTCATGTTTCAGCTGTTGTAGCTGCTCAATGAATTGACGTGTGTTAGACAAGTGCGCTGGAACCTTTGTGAGCAATTGGCTTAAGATTTTGTTTAAAAACCACGATATTCGGTCGGTGGGACCACCTACGCAGCTTATAATGGGGCGAATCTTGTACGTTTCTGGCGACATGGAGCTGGTCTCGTGAGCCGCTACTTTATGGGTTTTCAGCAAGTGATAGAATACGGGACAGTTTGGATTGTTCACTTTCAGTCTCTTCACGAAATTAACATCAAACCCTGCTGATCTACTGACATTAATCCAAACCTCGTTCAACCTTTTGCACTGTGACTGAAAATCTCTGGAGGTAGCATGTTGGTAAATCGTCGTATCAGAAAGATGCAACTGTGCAATCTCTCTGTCTAGACTTTTGGGCATCACTACGAACTCTCCGCCTTTGTCGCTTATCGATAACCGGATAGATCCTTTGGCTAACATATCGCGCATCTCTTTGTAACCTCTCCATTGTTCACGTGTCAGGTTTGTCTGATGAACTCCCCTGAATTTGTTAAGAACATGTAAAATCTCAGTAGAAAGAATGCGGAACTTTATATCAGGCGCGAGCATGGGTTCGGGTTCTCTATATGATAAGCGAGGAAACGGTATTATTGGCAGTACTGGTTTCTCCGTTGCAATAGTCTGGGTGTTTTCAAGCTTAGCTTTCAATCTCAGCGAATCACGTACTCTATGTAAACTACCCAAGACTTTACGGCAGAATGATGCATTTATGCTTTGCGATATCGAGAAAGATGGACCGAGACTGAGGAACTCGGTAGCATGCGCAGACAAATGAATGTTGCCGATAGTAGTGACCCTCCCAAAAACCTCATTGGTAGCTGTCGAGTCAGTAAAGTGGTGGTTTTGAAGGCGACAAACCTCATCGTTCGCATGTTCACCATGCAGTGCGTCCAAGAGTCCGTCGTACTTTTTGCAGAGTCTCGATTTGATCTTAGACCGCACAGCGCCACAGATTGACTTCGATCCTTGTTCAATTCTCCTCCAAAGTTCTTCATGCAAAAGACGTTTACAATGCATTTCCTTATAGTTACACTTCAACAATGTGGAATACAACACTGTCTTCTTCTTCTTGATAACAACATTCAAGATGTTGCGGTAAATATTGACTATCTTCTTATCATTTTCTGGTAATCCACAGGTCTTTCCAATTTTCTTCATTGAAATGAACTTCGGTAAAACATTTGTCTTCTTGCAACGTTGGAGGAAGGCCAAGGACTGGCGAACAACTACAATCCGCTGACGAAGCGCAAGGGCCTCGCGCACAGTGAGAACATCTTTGGCGGTACATCAGTAGGAATTTTCCATGTGTTCTCACCTTGAAACCTGGGCATCTTCGACTGTTAAGTTTGATGTTCTAATATTTCTTATGCCGCACAGGTTGGTATGGTGGATCTTTATCGACCTAACGTTTCGAACAACTCGTCTTCGTCGGAGGTCTGAAAAGGATTGTAGTTTACGTACCCGTTGTACTGTGCCGCCAAACATCTCGTCTGAGTCCGCTTTGCTTGACGTTTTCTCAGACGCAACGTACTGGGAATATCAAACGAGGGCAAACGAACCTTCGGTCCACCAAAGAGTCAGTAGTCCGCACTAGATCAGTGTGACGGACATCACTGAGTTGTGCCCAGTGAGTCCTGCTACTTATAGTGTGCGGTATCGAGCTCACACAATGATATCAGTGGAAGTAGATCACTCGTTATCGTCAGACATTCATTTCTGTTGTTCATACTCGGATTACGAGAGTATATCCACGCCGCTTCAAGGGTTTTTCGTGCTTGAATGTCAGTCTCAAACGCTAGGATGACACATTTAACGCTAAAATCATTGCCGCCGTGCTCTTCAAATTTATGCTTGCCTAACGGAGACAATAGATTTCCTCGCCTCATGTTGGCCAAATGCTCGCTTACTCTAGTACTCAGAGGTCTACCCGTCTCTCCAATGTACGCTGTTCTGCAACTCAAGCATTCTTATTGGTAGACAGTTCCGGATTTGGCGCAGTCCCCAATTTTCCCGTTAGGACAGACTATGCAGTTCTTTGATACACATTCAACATCATAAACTCTATTTCTGACCAACCGCCTTTTGATATTATCGCTAGGAATGTCAATCAGCATGACTTCATTTTGCAAGTGTGCTCGCAGAATGCATTGTCTTATGGCCTGGCTGATTCTATCGGAAACAAAGGATAAACAAACAAACAAAGGGATGCGCCAAATCCGGAACTGTCTACCAATTAGAATGCTTGAGTTGCAGAACAGCGTACATTGGAGAGACGGGTAGACCTCTGAGTACTAGAGTAAGCGAGCATTTGGCCAACATGAGGCGAGGAAATCTATTGTCTCCGTTAGGCAAGCATAAATTTGAAGAGCACGGCGGCAATGATTTTAGCGTTAAATGTGTCATCCTAGCGTTTGAGACTGACATTCAAGCACGAGAAACCCTTGAAGCGGCGTGGATATACTCTCGTAATCCGAGTATGAACAACAGAAATGAATGTCTGACGATAACGAGTGATCTACTTCCACTGATATCATTGTGTGAGCTCGATACCGCACACTATAAGTAGCAGGACTCTGGGCACAACTCAGTGATGTCCGTCACACTGATCTAGTGCGGACTACTGACTCTTTGGTGGACCGAAGGTTCGTTTGCCCTCGTTTGATGTTCCCAGTACGTTGCGTCTGAGAAAACGTCAAGCAAAGCGGACTCAGACGAGATGTTTGGCGGCACAGTACAACGGGTACGTAAACTACAATCCTTTTCAGACCTCCGACGAAGACGAGTTGTTCGAAACGTTAGGTCGATAAAGATCCACCATACCAACCTGTGCGGCATAAGAAATATTAGAACATCAAACTTAACAGTCGAAGATGCCCAGGTTTCAAGATGAGAACACATGGCAAATAATCTGTGTTAGTTTGAAAGGCGTCTCTTCCCAGCTAAATCCGACGAGCTTAAAAGCTGAAGATTTTGAAGTCAAGCAAGAATAGAAACCAATCATAACAGCTACAAGTCCGGGATCAGGTTATGCTTGCCAGTTTAGCATTGCTTACCTCCATCGA